TGTCCACCCATGTTTGGGCCCAATTCTATATAAATATGTAAAATTTCATTGTAGAGCACCCTTGGGTTTATTCTTCAATATTCAATAAAGACTTCATTTTTGCTTGAATTCGTGGGTGCGTCTTGAAGAAAGAGAGGAGAGAGAAGAAAATGGCTTGTACCCCTTAGTAAGATAACTTTCTCTCTCCTCCCTTCTTTTTCTCTCCTATTCCTTTTTCTCTCTCGTCTCTTTCTCTCTCTTCTTCTCATATCTTTCTTTCTCTCTCTTTCTCTTTGTTTCTCATCTCTGTCTCTCTTTTTCTCTCTTCTTCTCATGTTTATCTCTCTTTCTCTCTCTTTTTCTCATCTTTATCTCTCTTCTTCTCATATCTATCTTTTTCTCTCGCTTCTTCTCATCTCTCTCTCCTTCTCTTTCTTCTCTCTCTAAACATGGCTGGTGATGTTAGCGCCACCTGTGTCCTTCTCTCTTCTCTTCTTCTAACATAGCCGGCGATGCCAATGCCGCCAATATCCTTCTCTCTCTTCTTCTAACCAAGCCGGCGATGCCAACGTTGCTTGTGTCATTTCTCTCTTCTCTTCTTCTAACCCAGTCGGTGATGTCAGCGCCGCCTGTGTCCTTCTCTCTCCTCTTCTTCTAACCCAGCCAACGATGTTACCGTCGCTTATGTCCTCTCTTCACTTCTTCTAATCCAACTGGCGTTGCCAACACCACCTGTATCTTTCCCTCTCCTCTCTTCCTAACACTAGTTGGCGATGCGTAGTGCGCCTGTGTCATCTCTCTCTTCTTTGTCTAACCTAGTCAGCGATGCATAGCGCTGCCTATGTCATCTCTCTCTTCATTATCTAACACAGCCGACGAAGGCCTAGTGCCTTCTGTATCTCCTTTCTCTCTCTTCTCTCTTCATGTCATAACCGACAGGGACTCATCGTCGACAAATTTTCTTTCTTCTCCTCCCATTGTTGTCTGCGTGTTTGGTCCTTCCTTCTCTCTTCTCTCACACTCTTCCCCTCCTTTCTTCATCTTCCTGTCCTTCTTTATATTCTTTGTTTCTTCTCTTATCTTACTTCTTATTCTTTCTCTATAATCTCCATTCTTTCTATTATTCTTTTGTTTGATTAAGAGGGGTTGAGATTAGCATTTCATGGCAGTCTTGTCGTCTAGCCATAATGTTGTTGTGTCAGAATTACTGTGCCCCTTTTATTGCCATGACAGACTAATCATCATGTCTAGCTAGTTAGTATTGGTATTGACTTTTAATAGAAATTTTGTTGAGCTGGTCTGAGTTACCGAGCGCGTTTTACTGCCACATCAGGCCAATTACCTACCAGCTTAATCATCGTGTTGATCTCCCCGCCTAGTCAAATTCTTCTCTTCCCCATCTTTCTTCTCTCGTTATTCTCTTCTTCTTTTTGAATGTGCACACTTTTGTACCTTCACTTGAAGGTGAGGTGAGGTCTGTTGAACCACCGGTCTTATAACATTTTACATATATGTGTGATTGCAGAAAAAAAGATAATACAAGCCAAGGGAGGCAATTCCGAACCAGTTTTACAACTAGGTGCTTTCTTTGTGATCTAAGATGGTACACATGCAAGCTAACCCAAGTAAGTCCCGAATCCACCTTAAATTTCTCTCTCAGGTAATACCTGCCCTTGTTCACGAATGAGGTTCCCGAGATAGAGATCTCAAAGTCCCTGGTCTCCCTGAAACCCAAGATGTGTGCCGCCCAATCATAACTAATCAAGTAGTACCTTAAAGAAATTGTAAAGACTCTTGATATTGGATAAATGAAATGGTTGTTCCTTTTGGATTGATATTTGTTTGACGAATGGATTTATTCTAGTTTTCTTTGGTGGTTTGCTCTCGATTTCATGTTTTTATGCATTGAGCCACTCCCACCTGAGTGATATTTGCGACCTCCTGTCGCGATCTCGCGCTCTGTCGCCCTCCGACAGTAAGTCACACCCCTCGAAATTTATATGATGAGAATAATGAGTGATGCCTTGTAAAGTAAGTGCCTATCGAAAACCTCAATGGTCTCTGGGGACCGTGTGGGTGAGTATGAAAACATTACGAAGTGGATTCACCCACTTGTCATTGCCCTTCCCTCTGAAAAATAGTAGAGGTCCTAAGCAATAGGATTGGCTTAGCCCGATAGATAGGGTTTCTACTTCGGGAGTGGGTGAACTAAGGAGTGAGTGGGTAATGCTTGAATAGTAAATGAGAATGATGATGATTACAATGATTGCAATGATAATTATGATATTTGAACATGATGCGTGTAATTGATGCACTGATATGATTCCTGATTTACATGACAGTAGCATTGTGACTTCTTATAATTGAATGAACGGCTATGATGCATGAATAAACTCATTAATGATGCATAGTAGTTAGATCTACTTACTGGGCTTTATAGCTCATCCCCCTGTATCTCCCCTCTTGTAGATTTATAGCGTCCGGCCGAGAGCCAAAAGCTCGTGTTTTACGGTTGAGAGTTGAAGTCTTAATTTCAATTGGGGAGAAACTCAGATCTTGTAGGTGGTTGTGCGTTTCTAGCCCTGCATTTTGTTTATTTTGAAAAGTATGTGTTTTTGGGCCTTGGTGCCCAGACTCAAGTGTAATATATTTTGAAGAACTTTATGTAATGCCCCTTTTTATGATGTATGGGTTCTCCAAATTTTACTTATTCACTTGTACCCGGAATTGTTGAATTAGTTATTTTCAATGGTTTGCTCTGTTTACCGCTTTATTAAAGCATTGAGTTCACTTCGACCTGGGTGACGTATGCTACATCAAGGTCACGAACCCGCACCCAGTAATCCTCCATTGAGTACGGAATGGGGGTCGGGGATGGGGTCGTGATAGTTATAGTATAAGAATAGCCAGGATAGGATTCTTGGCCAGCATTCTGCTTTACATTTAGAGAGAAGTAACATCCCCAATCATGAGTTATCATAGGTAAATGAGTGAGAATGGGAAATGGAAATCATTATCCCGAATAGATACTTGAATGTTTCCAGAATGTGGCATAAGAACTTACGTGTCTGCCAATCCTTTTGAGCAGGAATCAGAGTTGAAGTAGGAGTAGGGAATTGCATTTAATTTTGGGATGATTTATGGTGTAGGGTTAGACATAGGTTCACAAGACTTTATTGGTTGGCCACGACTAAAGAAGTGAGGGTTTGTGACTACTATGAAAAGTGGGATAAACTATACAGTGCCCTGTGTTCTGATGGGATCTAGCTGATCATGTTAGGACAATGTTCACTTTTTTGAAATATTTGGCACCTGCGTACATCCCCAAGGAATGGAGTAGATCAACTTGTCTGGAGAGATGATCATAAGGATTGTTCTCAATTAAAATGTAATACTTTCCATTGTAGACCAGGCTCCCACCCAAGCATGTAAGAAGTGGAATAACGTGTAGTATGCGCTGGAAAGTTGAGGAGAATGGTAACTTTTGTACACCATCCTTTGTGCACAATATATGAAAATACATCTTTAGATTCTTTGAAATGAACTGGATTCCTCCAAAATCAGTAAAAAATGTGCTATCTATGTGGAGTTTTAGCCCTTTCTCACAAAAAGGAATGATCCTACGAGTCTTTAGCACTGTAGCTATTCTATGGAGCATTTTGCTTGCGTGAAATAAGAGAAGTTTTGAAGTGAAACACATTAATTCCAACAACATTGGTGAGAGAGTTACAGCAACGGTTTTTGCTGAGTACTCACTGTGGTGGAATTTAAAGGAACCTGTGCGCAAGATCTAGTTAGAAAGTGGAAGTTGGTGGTTGGGTGGCACAATGCCTTACATGAGAGTTGCACCAACCATCAGAATGATCACTTGAGCTAAACTTTAATGGTTGTTTATTGGGAACCCAAGTCCCACAGGAGTCGGAGAAGCTACCAAAGACAAATTGAGAATATTCAAACTATCAATGTGGGTCCTTCGGGTATTGATGATGCTAATAGGACTGAGGTGATTGCCCTTCTCTCAGGACATTTCGTTCCAAACCATTACAATGACATAACTTATAGGGCCATAAAAGGAGATCCTATGCATGTCATCCAAGTGGGTCAATAACAAAAGCCTGTTCCTATGGGGTCTTGTCAAATACTGTAGAGCATATCGATATCTTTAAGGGGAAGATGGTTATCTTTCATCAAGTGCAGAGGGTGGCAAACACTTTGTAAATTCAACTACACACATCGGAAATGCAATGTACATCAGATAAGCAAAAAAAAAATCTCCTCACATTAATCTCCGACGCTTTCCTTCACGTCTCTTTTCTCTATATTGTGCATGTCACAAAATGTATGCTCCTCCGAGCAACAACTTGAAGTGAATATATTACCATTCAAAAAGGGGGAAAAAAAAAAAAGGAGAAAAAAGAAAAGAATCCTTGACTATGATTGTTGTAAGGTCTTTAAAGTAGAAAAGCAAACCCTGGGTTCTCAAGCCCAAAAACGTTTTACACGAGTTATTTAAAACCATCCTAAATGCATAGGCAACAGCAATTAGGTAACTGAAACTCTAACGAAGACTTCCAAGTTGTAAATTACAAGGATTGGCGAGGAAATGTAATTTGTATTTCAAAGAGGACTATGAAGACTGGCTGCTCCACTCCAAGCATTTGTTAATTTATTTATTACACATAGGTATCACTATTCAGATTTCCGAACATTTGATAAAATATTAGCACTTCCCCACCTTTTATGTCATGTTACCAATTCTAATACAATCTAAGTTTCAGTCAAAAATAAATAAAATCATAAATTGGGGGAATCTTGCTGCTGCACTCATCTCAATTCCTAGATAAAAATCAGATAAGGATACACACATCACTATCAGGCGATGTATATTAGAGGCATAGAGCTCCAAACCTTCATGTTCCATTTTGATTCCTAGCTTACATAACTGAAAAGGAAAACGAAACAAAATTAAGTATTGTAGTTACTTTTCAGCAGAACAAACTATCAATACGCCATGCAAGGTAGAATCTTAAAAGATCTTGGGATATATCAATGCAAAACAAAAATTTGTAGTACACCAGCTAAGTTAACTCAAAGCCATTTCATGATTTCTCAAAACAATTAGCCCCTCAATCCCAACACTGTTCAGATGGGAGTGAAAGAAATAGATAAACCTTAGAAAACATGTGCATACAAACATATCAAGGCAGCAGTACAAAGAAATGCAAGCCGCTTTATTCCCTGTCCTTTATTAAGTTATTGATCATATTGACCAAGGGAAGAGTTCCCTTTGCCATAATCTCTAACCTAGAGCTATTAGAGGCATGTGAGAACAGAGAAAGGCCAAACCATAAAAGCTCAGGAAGAAACAACCGTGAGGATAAAAACCCATGCCAATAACGAGGCTCTAGATCGAAAAAGGCATTGAAAAATCTCCTTGTACCCACTAAATCAAGCTTGAGCAAGATATCCATACCAAAGCAAAAGAACTCCCTTTGCTTTCTTCTCTCTATAGGCCACAAGTCCTTCCAAACCTTCGCCGACAAATCGTCCCCCATGCCTCCTCCTTCTGAATCAAGATACTTAGCTATCGCATTAGCTACAACTGGGGCAGCTGCTAATGTCCTGGCCACCATATACCCAGTTGAAGGGTGAACCATACCGGCAGTTCCACCTATCCCCACAACTCTTTGTGGAAGAACTGGCAAAGGACCACCCATTGGAATTACACATCTCTCATCCTCTTCTATGCTCTTAACTCTAATTCCCAAGTGCTTAAATCTAGCAACCATCCTCTCTTTAATATCTTCCATGGCCAAACCAGGCCTAGCAACCAAAGAAGTCTCCTCCAAGAAAATCCTATTCGATGAGAAAGGCATGGCATAGAGAAAAGTAGGAATTTTATTGTTTCTCTCTCTTAATTCTTTCTGTCCACTTAGATGAGAATCCCTCCAATCCATGAATACCATCTTATCCACATCAAATGGGTGCCCTTCTACCTCTGCTAAAATCCCATAAGCCACTTGGTACCCAGGATTATAAAGCTTATCATATTGAACCAGGCACCTTGAGAACCCTGTTGCATCCAAAACAACCTTAGCATGGACTGTAACTCCATCATTACAAAACAAAACTGACTGCGAATCTTCATGAACAACCTTATATACCTTTGCTTGGTGAAATTTCACACCATTGAGAATGCATTTTTGCATCATTTTGGATTTCAATTGTCTCCTATTGACTCTACCATAAGGTCTGTCAAGGAATTTCGTGTTGGTATCATCTATGAAAACAACTGCACCAGACCAGGTGGTATCAAGGCAATCTAAGAGATCCATGGCCTCGAATTCATCAACCCAAACACCGTAATTATTTGGCCAAACAAGAGTTGGAGATGGGTCAATAGAGCACACAGAGAGGCCAGCCTCGGAGACCAATTGAGCCACTGCAAGACCAGCAGGTCCACCCCCCACAACCACTAAGTCCATTACAATGTTCTTCAATGATGGATCGAATTTTGGGAGCTCAAACGCTAAATTCTCCTTCTTTATCTCAGGAACAAGCTCTAAAAGAGCACTGCAGGCTCTTACATGACCATCCAGGTAAAATGGCTTTTTGCGTTGTTTTGGGTGGGCTTGAGATGCTGGTTTCTCAGACTTGAGAGAAGAAAAGATGGGCTTCTCAGAGAGGTAATGAAATGGGTAGGATTGATGCCCACGGTGTGTACTGATGATGGTATCCATACAAATCAGGAATTGGGTTTTCTCCCAAGTGGGTTATAATTCAATCAAAATGTAGATTATATATAAACAAAGAGAGAGAGTAAGGGTTCAGACTTCAGAGAGAAGAAGTTTTACAGTTTGGGGAAAGAGGTGAAGAGCTTACCGATAAGAAAAGAGTGAAGTGGTTGGTTGCAGAAGTAAAAAAAATCGAGGGAGTGCGTTTCAGTTTCAGGCACTTCTTCCTTCTGGCGATTAGAACCGAACTGCAACCTATCATTCACAGAGAGAAAGAGAGAGAGGTACGCTAGTGAAGAAGATAATGGAGACGTAACAAGAAGAAACATAAAAGAAAAGCAGTGGACCAAAGCTCTCGGAAATTGGTGCACCCTGACCTGCCACCACTAAGATCTAAAAAGACAACAAAATTTATTGGGAGAGTATACTGTGATCCGAAGGGTAGAGCTTGAGACTGGTCATGAGCATCATCACTGTGTAGTCAAACGATGAATGGCACCCACATGGTCATGTCTAGCACTAATGGATCCTTATCTTTCTTGATCTCTTTGGATTGGACGGTTATGATGCGTATGAACAATCTCATGAGCATGCATATGGCTTATGCTACGCTTTCCCCAAGATGGATTGCATATCTAACGCCCTAATAAATTTGCCCAAACTTCTCTTCCCTCTAATTTGTCTCGATTATATTTTGGGAAAAAGTTTATGCAGAGTCGAGGCTCTAAACAATCAAATTAGAGCTTAGCTCAAAAATTTAACTAAAAGAGATTGATCGAATGCCCAAATATACTCAAATTGATCATTTAGACATAAATAAGCATGGACATGAGAAAAAAAAAGAATTTTCAATTTGGAAAATAGTGCATATTTGTAAATACATTTTTGAATCATCAATTTTCAAAATTTTCATAGATCTGCTCAATTTATATTTCAAAATTTTCATAGATCTGTTCAATTTACACTATTTTTTAAGCTTTAAATTTATAATTAAAGGTGAAAATATATTTTAAGGCTATCACAAATATTTTTAGAATTGAAACCACATTTCTCAACATTATTTGATGGTGAGTTTTATTTTAATTGTTTAGAGCCTTCAATATGTTTTAAATATAATTTGATTCTAATTTTTAGGAAATATATTTAATATAAAATTCATGAATATGAATTTTTTTAAAAAAATAAAAAAATAATTATATTAAAAAAATATTTGGACTGTTTGTTACACTTATGTTTTTTTACTTCTAGACCGCGTATTGCAGAAAGCCGCTTTTCACGGAGTTTCAGCAGATGTGACCTTCCGTTTTTCAAATCGCATGGTCGACAAATTGCTATCATTCTGTTTGAAAAACAACTACGGCATACTCTCTCCCCTCGCCTAAGGTCCCCAAATCGGGCGGCTGGATTCAAAAATCTGAAAACGTCGTTTCATGCATGCGCCATACGGGAGCACCCCAGCGTCCCCAGGTGTCCCGCTCACTACACTCCTCTCTAACTCCTTTTTCTCTCTTCCTTTCCCTTTCCCTTTTCTCTCTCTAACTCCTGTCTCTCTCTTCCAGCCCTTTTTATCTCTCTAACTCTTTTCTCTCTCTAACTCATGTCTCTCTCTAACTCATTTCTCTCTCTACCATCCCCTTTTTATCTCTCCCCTTTTTATCTCTCTAACTCCTTTCTCTCTCTTCTTCCCCCTCTCTCTCTCTTCCTTTTTATCTCTCCCCTTTTTATCTCTCTAACTCCTTTCTCTCTCTTCTTCCCCCTCTCTCTCTCTTCCTTGCAAACCGTGCTACATGCTATTTCTCTCTCAATTTGCTCTCTCGACACTTCACTGCTATGGATTTATGTGAGGAATGAATGCACAGGGCTTATTAGCATCAGCCGGCATTAACATAGGGCTGGCCATTGTTGTTCTCACTTTCTTCTCCATCTTTAAGAAGCAGCTCTGCAGCGCCCCTGTTTATCTACCTAAGAAGCTAGCAACAGGCGGTATTGGGCCATTACAAGAAGAGCTGGAAGGGTCAGGGTTTAGCAGGTTCCTTCCTTCTGCTTCTTGGTCCCTTCGAGCTCTTCGACTGTCAGAGGATGAGTTTCTTCAGACCTGCGGCCTTGATGCTCTCGTCATTCTTCGACTTTTCAAACTTGGGTAATTTTTCCTTGATGCATTACCCGGAATTCATCGTCTGTCTCCTTCCATTCAACTAATTTCTAGAAATGTAGAAATGTGGTGTATCCCTTTTCTTGTGCTTTGAGTGTACTTTCTTCAGAAAATACTCTCTCCCTCTCTTTCTCTCTCTCTCTCTCTCTC